ATCTGCTTTATTGCAGTTTTACATTTTCTGCATCTCTCTGTTCTGTCCTAGGAGGGGCCACATGTAGTGCATGGAACGTGTGGCTTGTCATCGCTGGGACCCTGGGACTAGCTCTGGGGGCCGGTGTCCCCTGCTCATCCGGCTCACCTGGGGAATGGGTTCTTAGCTGCTGGGAGTGCTGCAGCTGTAACTGTAGTGGAAGCCTCTTCCCTTCCCTTTTCGTATTTGGGTCTCCCAGAAGAATTCGTATTGTGGGTTGCTCTCGGCTGGTCTTGTGAGTGACGGTGTCGCGTGAGCTTCAGGAGCCTGCTGTGGGGAGAGGGCTCAGAGGGCTCCAGCCGAGGAGAATTGTACATAGCCATCAGCCACAGGGAGCAGGGCTCCAAGTCCAGGAAGCCTCCTGCTCACCAATACCCAGGGTCTGATTGCCCACATGGACCACCGTCACAACAGTGCCCGAACACCTGCCTGCCTGTCAACTGACCAGACTCACTGTTTCTCCTAACCTCCATCTGCAGCTGCTGCTTCCCTTTAAAAGCCCTTGACTGGCTTGTTGGGCGGAAGGAGCACATTTTGGATCCAGAGAGTCGTCTTTCCTCACGACCAGGACTCCTTGAAACAAACCCTTTCCTCTGACCAACTCTCAGCCCTGGTGAATGGGCTGTCAAACAGCCAGTACAAGGGCCTGAGTATTTTGTAGGGTAACCCTGAGAGTCCTGTGCCCAGCTAGTATCCCGCAGTGTGCTTGTGGCCAGTCCTGTCTGTCTACTACAGAACTCACAATGCCCCACAGCCAGCCCCCCCGCCCTCCATTGCAGGTGCAGGAGTGCACAGCCCAACACATAATAGGTGCTCAGTGTGAATTTATGGGGAGAATGGACAAAGGTGAAACTGATACAAAGCATCACTAAGAGGCACCTCCAGGAAGCATTCAGCTTCTTGGTCTCTCCTCCATTCAATTTTATGTTCAGGGTAAAAACAACAACAAACTGAACAATGCCGGAATGATCCACAAGCCATTTATTCTGTTCCTAAATAATGGAGATGAAACGGTCCTCAGGGGCCGGCACCATGGCTCACTAGGTTAATCCTCTGCCTGCGGCGCCGGCATTCCATATGGGTGCCGGGTTCTAGTCCCGGTTGCTCCTCTTCCAGTCCAACTCTCTTCTGTGGCCTGGGAAGGCAGTGGAGGATGGCCCAAGTGCTTGGGTCCCTGCACCAGCATGGGAGACCAGGAGGAAGCACCTGGCTCCTGGCTTCGGATCACTGCAGCTCAGATCATAGCAGCTATTTGGGGGGTGAACCATTGGAGGGAAGACCTTTCTCTCCGTTTCTCTCTCTAACACTGTCTGTCAAATAAAAAAAAAAAAAAAAGAAACAGTCCTCAGATTTGAGACCAGAACAATCCATCACTAGCAGAAGGTGAAGTATTTAAGGCAATTGGAAAGAAAAGCTCAGAGTACTCAGCGAGACTGCAGAGAAAAGCAGATGATGGGCTGGGACCATCTCGGTGGCTTCCACGAAGAACAGCCCGTTCTGTCTCTCTGCTTCTGATTCTTGAAGTCTGATGCCATCCATAAGCCAAAGGAACGCAACGAATCATTGCCATGGGTAGGATTTAGCACAAGGTGCTTTCAAACTGGAAAACTTGGCAAAAATCAGCCTAATTCCATCCAGGGAAAGTCAGATCTTCTCCAGGTTTCACTTCCCTTCCCCACCCCCCTGGACAGCTGGGGGACACCTGGGGCTGGAGCACCCGGCTGTCAGCGCCCTGGTGCCTTAACCCCACCCAGCCCAACAGGCAGCAGCCGGAAGCCAAGGGAGAAGCATGGGGTGGAGGTGAGGAGGCCCAAGGAACAGGGAGGCAAACCTACACACAGTAGGTCCACCCTGGGGGAAGCTTGCTCCTGTCCAGTTTAGACAAGTAAGGCTGAGCGTTCCCTCGTCCCTGCTTTCTCCTCCATTCCAGAGCCCAGGAGGAAGGCTGATTTCACTTATAGATGTTGGAGTGGGGATGGTGTTCGGAGGCCCTGTGCCTACTTGCTGAGGGAGGCAGGGGCCCAGGCTGAGTTACCCAGCTCACCGGAAGTAGCGCGGTAGAATCCACAGCTGCTGAAGCAGGTGCACAGCTCCTGCCTTTCACGTGACCTCTCTCAGCCTTGGTGAGGCCAGAGGGTAAACACATGGAGCATACTTCCTTCCGGCTCATTGTCTTTCTGAAGAGTTCATGCTTGGCTAAAGGAAAAACAGTTGCTTTGGAGTTCCCACCTGGAAGGTGAAGAGCAGTTAGCCAATGAGGGTAGCCTGGGAAAGGTTTGGAGTTCAGAGTGGCTAACAAGCCATCCGCTACTCACTCGGCCACCCGTGCAACAGCTGGGTGAGTTAGTAGGCTGGAAGGGGAATGTAAAACCTAGCTCTGGGCTGCACGGACAGGGGGGCCACACCAAGAGAAAGGCTGCTGCTCGGCGACCCAAGACAGATGGTTCAGTTGATTTTACAGACTGTTAAGAAGTCACGGGGCTGGCGCTGTGGTGCAGCGGGTTAGGCCACAGGTTGTCACTTCCAGCATCCCATGTGGGAACATCTGAGCAGCAGCTCAAGTCCAGGCAGCTAAGTCTCCAATCCAGCTCCCTGCTAGCACACCTGGAAAAGCAATAGATGATGGCCCAAGTACTCGGGCCCCTGCCACCCACGTGGGACACCCAGAGGGAGTTCCTGGCTCCTGGCCTCAGCCTGGCCTAGCCCTGGCAGTTGTGGCTATTTGGAGGAATGAATAGGGGATTGCTGATCTATGTGTGTGTGTGTGTGTGTGTGTGTGTGCGCGCGCGTCTGTTTAACCCTCACCCTCATCATTCTGCCTTTCAAAATAAATAAATCTTAAAAAAAAATTGTTGGATGCCTACAATGGCAGTATCCCATATTGAAGTAGGCAAGCATACAGGTTAAAATCAATTAGGTTTGTGAGCTGGAAGACCACGCCTTCACCATGCCCCTGTGTGACCGCACGATTCTACCTGGTCACACCTGGGTGCCCATCAGCCAATCAGGTTAATTAACCACTCCCCTTTGGAAGTGGGTTAAAAGCCTGGGACACGGTATACCCGCCCTCTCTTCCATTTCCTGGCCTCTTGCCAGGAGGGGGCTGGTTGTAGCCCTGCATCGCCAGGGCATGTGGCTTTTAGGCCACCCGCTCTAAGCTTCCTAGCCTAGATGCTCCTCCATGTGGCTGGTTCCTGGTGCTTGGTATGAACCCAGATTTACCCCTCTCTCTCTTAGATAAAGCGCTCTCTCTCGCCTATGATTTCTCTCACTGAATAAAAGCCTTAAATGTAGCCGGTGCCGTGGCTCACTAGGCTAATCCTCCGCCCTGTGGCACCAGCACACCGGGTTCTAGTCCCGGTCGGGGCGCCAGATTCTGTCCCGGTTGCCCCTCTTCCAGGCCAGCTCTCTGCTGTGGCCAGGGAGTGCAGTGGAGGATGGCCCAAGTGCTTGGGCCCTGCACCCCATGGGAGACCAGGAGAAGTATATGGCTCCTGCCATCGGATCAGCACGGTGCGCCGGCCGCGGCGGCCATTGGAGGGGGAACCAATGGCAAAGGAAGACCTTTCTCTCTGTCTCTCTCTCACTGTCCACTCTGCCTGTCAAAAAAAAAAAAAAAAAAAAGCCTTAAATGTATCATGCTACCTCGTTTATTTATGCTGGTATTTAGAATTCTTCTGTAAATATTAGGCAAGAACCCTCTTGGGCTTATTAATAATGGGGATTTATTAATAAGTATATGGTGATATCATATGGCACCCAAAATTCCAGTAACATGTGTGGCATCCCAGATGGTGCTTCTGGGGAACTTTAAGAAGCCACATTTTTATATAGATTTTAGGGGGTCATTTCCGATATCAATAAGGGCATCCGTTCATGTCCAGGATGCTCTGCTTCTAGCCAGCTACCTGTTAATGTGCCTGGGAGAACAGCTGATGATGTTGGGGCTCTCCTAGCGACTGGAGATCCAGGTGGACTGACCAGCCACAGGTGGGAAGAGAGCCACAGGGCGTCTGCCAGCACAGATGTGGTTCTGGGAGGGGCAGCTGGCTGGGTGGACAGGGTTAGGATTCATAGTCTCGCTCCTGAGACAGACCTCAAGGGGAAAGCAGAGGGAGACACAAACCATTGCCCACGGCAGAGGGGAGCTGGAGGACTGTCGACCCCTTTCCCCTACATCAGCTGGAACGATGCTGGAGTGTGGTCCACAATCTCCCAGAATGCTCCAGGGGCCCAGGCTCCAGGAACCCAGCGTCACTCACTCATTGGCTCATCCTTTGCCTGTTTGCCTCCTCCTCCCAAATAAACCACTTGCGCCAGATCCTCATGTCAGGTGGGGACCTGGACCAAAGACCGCTCCGCTGGGCAGCTCCTGTGACTTTTGATTCCAGGTCTTTGGCCTCGCCGCTGTGGGACAGAGGCGTGAGGGGGTGGCTCAGGCTCTCGTTCCCAGCCCAGACTGTAGCCCTCTGCCTTAGCTCTGAGCTGGAGGAGGCAGGCCCGTGGCTAGGAGGCCAGAGGCAGTGTCATTTTTGTTTTGTGATCCTGCCGCCTCGCTATGTGCTATCTGCACTTGCAAACCGAAAACTGCCAATTTTCGCCCAGTTTGCTCTCATGTTCCCTAGGAGCTTGGCATGGTGTTAGAGACCCAGACATTCCCACGGCCCCAACGCCTATTTAAAAACTGCCTATCTATTTAAAGTTCATGATGGGGAGAATCAAAGGAAAAAAGCCTCCTAAAGCCATCAGGGGAACATGAGATAGGCATAAGGAAAAATTCTCTTCACTTCTAAAAAAGGCTGAAAATTATAACCGTCCACGGCCTGGTATCTCCAGTCTCAGAATTTTTTTTTTCCTTTTGGTTGTTTGCAAACCCAAGTGGAATTTTATTATGGGTTACTAAGTGAGTTTTCTTCTTCCTTTTTCTTTTTTCTTTTTTCCAAATTCCTAGCCCCCAAAATCTCTCCTCGTTCAACCGCATGCCTTTTAGGTTCCTCACGCTGGCTGGGAAAAGAGAATGCGGCGAAAATAAAGCGGCTGGTATCTCTGGGCCCTGCACCTCTTCCTCCTCCGTCGTCCGCTGTCTCCCGGCTGCGTTTCCACAGCTCTGAGCCAGGGGCCGTAGGGAAGCCGCCTGGCCCTTTTTATGAACAACAAAACGGTGATGAAGGCAACAGGACTCAGAACACTATTCATTGCAGGAAGCCCCAGTATCCGGTGAGAAATAAGAAACACAACAGCACAGGATGCGCCTTGGGGCAGGGGGACGTGAAAAGTCCGCAGCCTTTGTGTCTTTCTGGGAGCCACTGCGGCCACAGCTCAGCTCCCAGCTCCCCACCGGGAGCTGAATCCCAGCGCCGATCGCCACCAGGGACGGAGGACCCCCCGGGATGGCCACCTCCGCGGATCTCCTGTTGCTGCTGCTGCCCCTGCTGCTCCCGGGCCAGCCCCAGGCAGGAGCCGGGGCCCCCATGGAAGCCGTGGTGTGCGCCGGGACCGCTTGCTACACTGCCCACTGGGGCAAGCTGAGCGCCTCCGAGGCCCAGCAGAACTGCAGCTCCAACGGGGGCAACCTGGCCACGGTGAAGAGCGAGGAGGAGGCCCGGCACATCCACCAGGCCCTGGCGCAGCTGCTGAGAGCCGAGGCGCCCCTGGCAATGAGGACGGGCAAGTTCTGGATTGGGCTGCAGCGGGAGAAGGGCACGTGCTTGGACCCCGACGTGCCGCTCAAGGGCTTCAGCTGGGTGGGCGGCGGGGACGACACGCTCTACACCAACTGGCACAAGGAGGTCAAGAGCTCCTGCATCTCCAGGCGCTGTGTGTCCCTGATGGTGGATCTGTGGCAGCCGCCCCTGGCCAGCCGCCTCCCCAGGTGGTCCGAGAGCCCCTGTGGGACCCCCGGCTCTCCTGCCAGCAACATCGAGGGCTACGTGTGTAAGTTCAGCTTCCAAGGTATGTGCCGATCTCTGGCGCTGGGAGGCCCTGGCCACGTGAACTACATCACCCCCTTCCAGGCCAGCAGCTCTGCCCTCAACCTTGTGCCCTTCGGCTCTGTGGCCAACGTGGTCTGTGGCAGCGGGGAGGAGACCCAGAGCCATTACCTCCTATGCAAAGAGAAGGGCCCCCAAGTCTTCGAGTGGGACAAAGTGGGCCCCCTCTGCGTGAACCCCAAGTACGGGTGCAGCTTCAAGAATGGGGGCTGCCAGCAGGAGTGCTTCGAAGGGGGCAATGGATCCTTCCGCTGCGGCTGCCGCCCGGGGTTCCGGCTCCTAGACGATTTAGTGAACTGCGCCTCCCGGGACCCCTGCAGCTCTAGTCCCTGCACTGGGGAAGCCACGTGTGTCCCTGGGCCCCACGGGAAAAGCTACACCTGCCGTTGCCCCTCCGGCTACCGCCTGGACTCGACTCAGCTGGGCTGCGTGGATGTGGACGAGTGTCAGGAGTCGCCCTGCGCCCAGGAATGTGTCAACACCCTTGGGAGCTTCCACTGCGAGTGCTGGGTGGGCTACGAGCCTGCTGGCACCGGGGAAGAGGCGTCCTGCCTCGACGTGGACGAGTGTGCTCCCGGCCGCTCCCCCTGTGCCCAGGGCTGCACCAACACCGACGGCTCCTTCCACTGCTCCTGCGAGGATGGCTACATCCTGGCCGGAGAGGACAGCACCCAGTGCCAGGATGTGGATGAGTGTGCCATCTCCGGGGGCAGCCCCTGTGACAGCCTGTGCTTCAACACACTGGGCTCCTTCCGCTGTGGCTGCCTGCCAGGCAGGGAGCTGGCCGCCGATGGGGTCTCCTGCATCATGGACTTGGCGTCCCCAGGACCGTCACCCGGGCCTCCCCAGGAGACGCATGAAGAAGACAGCGAGGGGAGCACCGTGCCTCCTGCCACAGTGTCCAGCACCACCAGAGGCCCTGAGGGCACCTCCCAGGCAGCCTCCAAAGCAAGGGAACCTCCCCTCCTCCCACCCAGGGACCCCACCACTTCTGCTGCAAGGGAGATGCTGGCCTCCGGCGAGCCCCCTGGTGTCTGGACGGAGCCTGGCACCCAGCAGACCACAGGGGCAGCTGGCCATGGCATGGCTACAGGTGGGGACACAGTGGCCACTCAAAGCGACAATGGGGCCGACGGGCAGAAGCTGCTCCTGTTCTACATCCTAGGCACGGTGGTGGCCATCTCCCTCCTGCTGGCTCTGGCTCTGGGGCTACTTGTCTACCGCAAGCGGAGAGCCAAGAGGGAGGAGAAGAAGGAGAAGAAGCCCCAGAGTGCGGCCGACAGTTACTCCTGGGTGCCGGAGAGAGCTGAGAGCAGAGCCACAGAGAATCAATACAGGTAAAGGAGTCCCTGAGGCCACCAGGTGGAGGCGGGCGGGAGGCGGGAGGTACAGGCCACTGCCAGCACTGCGCAGTGGCAGCGGGCAGCTGCAGAGCCAGCAGGTGCTAACGCTGGCTCCAACACAGTAGCCCACGCAGAGGCCCCTCTGTGGTATGGGTGCCTGGGGAGGGGACATTCTCCTGGGGTCTAGATATGTGTGTGAACGCTGTCACTTCTGTTTCCTTTTAGTCCCACGCCTGGGACGGACTGCTGAAGGTGAGATGGCCCCAGGGACCGATTAAAGCTCAGCGGCCTCCAGCCTCAGAGCTTTCATTCCCGGTTGGAGCGGGAGGACCAGGGTCCCTCGGAGAGACTGGACTGGAATCAGTTGTGACCCTTTTCCTGAGAAGTCTGGCAGCTTGGAGTGCGCAGGTGCTGTCTCGTGTGTATGGTGTTCCCGAATCGGAAGCTGCGTGTGGACATGGGAATTCTGTGCACGTTAGCCGTTCTCTCTCCCCTCTCCCTGTTCAAGGTCAAGTGTGGCTGATTTCGTGCCCCCCCCCCCACATCGAGATCAGTATACTGGGAATCAAGTGCTATGGGCTCTTTGAATGGTTTCTCTGCTCCCTTCAACCATGGGAGAGATACGACAATGCTTCATGCCTGGTGCCAAATAGAATTGAGACATTTGTTCCTCTTGTATAATATAGCCTTATTATTTTGATCAGAAGCCCTTTTTTGGTGAACATTTCTTTCTCTTTCTATCGATGCCTTTGCTGATCACAGGTCCTGCCCAGTTCCTGTTGAAACCCTCCATAATCAGCAGAAATATCATTAGCTGCTTAGGTAGCCAGGAGGCACCAAGGGTCACAGACTGTCTCCTAGCTCTGAGGTTTCTAATAGCTTTGGATTTCTTTTGCAAGCGAGGTTGGACCAATCTGTGAAAAACTGCTTGGGGTGAATGGCAGGTGATTGTGGAATCACATCTCCCAAAGGGAGGGAGGGAGGGAGGGAGGGAAGGAGAGAGAAAGAGAGAGAGAGAGAGAGAGAGAGAGAGAGAGAGAGAGGAGAGACCAAGGCCCTGATTCATTCAATGTCCTGTGGCTGACACACACTGGAATGCAGTGACACAGACACTTCAGGAAAGCAGGCCAAGGGCACCCCCGCCCCTACTTCACAGCACTCTGTGTGCACAGAGGAAGCTTGAGAAGTCTTTTGTTCTGTTTTCTAAAGGATGTGTGAGGGAGCTGACATGTTGCGTTTTGGTATCAGTCATCTTAAAGCATCGCAGCACAGTTCACTGTCATCGGCGCGCTCTGAGAACTTGACTCCTGATCTGTGAATGTGGCTTAGGGCCAAGTTGGGGACTGGTCACTCAGGGTTTCTGTCTTTTCCTTAAAAAAGGAGAGAGAAGGAAAGGGAGACACAAAGAGAACAAATGCAATCTTTTGGGATTGCCGTTTTAAATTACATACTCATTTTAATGTGTACATTTGTAAAGATTCCCCCTTTATAACACTGCGGGTGCCAGCGGCTGTCGCTGGCTGCAGAACTGGGCCTGGGACACTGGCAAGCAGCCCCCCGGGGGGGTTGGCAGGATGCAACTGGGAGGTCTTAGGTCTCCTGGGAGCCCTTTGCTACCACTATACAGGGAACAGCCAGACGTCTCCTTCCAGGACTTCCAAAACCTGCCAGTCATAGCCGGGGTGCCTGGTCATTTTCTGGCTTAGCTTCAGATATGTATCTCCCCTGAGAGGTTACCACCCTGGGGCTGAACAGCCCGCCAGGTGCATTAGCACCTGTCCTTGGGCCAGCTTTGACATGTAGATACTCTACAATATAGACATTTTCCAGGAGGAAAATGGAAAACTTGGGTTGGGGAGGGGAGGGTGTAGGATTAAACAAAAAAAGAAGGAAGCTGGGTGGGGCTCAGCAGGGTGTTTGGAATCTCTGCTTTTTCTAGGTGGTCTCCCTGGTTTCAAGGTGGGACTCCATCCTTTAACACAGACCCCCAGTGGGACCCTAATGGTCCTGTGGGACCCTTTACAATCTGTTGAGATTGGCGGAGGGTTGAGTGGAGACCGTCATGACCTGGCCATGGGCTGCTTTCAAAAACATGGCAGTAAGAGCAGGTGCAGCGGTTCTACCTCTAGGTCCTTACAGCTCCTGCCCTCAAGCGCTGGGGGTGAGGGAGGCAGTGTAGGCTTTCTAGAGCTTCTTCATGGTCTGGAGCCAGCTCCTGTGAGCCTGCATCCACCTGCACCCCTCTTGGGTCCTGTTACTTCTCGGTGTTGGTTTCTCACACAGCCCAGACTCTTTCCTGGTCTCTGTTCCAGTTCTTGTTGACAGCTCGCAGCTCTATCTCCAAGCCCAGGGAGACCACGGATCCCCTCTGTGGGACCCATACACAGGGAAAATGAATGATAAGGAATTCAGGTTCCCCAAATGCCCTCTCTCTCATAGTTGGCTCCTTCCCATGGTGCTCATGGCCACTGCCCGTGAGTAGCCAATATGCTGGAGCAGACGCCCTTCAGCCGTGATTAGGTTGGAAACCACCAGTCTGAAGCAATGCTTTGTTGTCGCATTATGTATGCTGGTACCTTGCTCCCAGCCTTAGCTCAGGGAGCCTGGAGGCCCCAGCAATGAAAAACAAATGTCCACTGGCCAAACAAGCAGCATCATTTGCCCAGAGGGTCCAGCTGGAGAATCAAGGGGACAGCTGTGAAACCAACCAGGGTGCTGGAGACAGGGAGAAGTCTCCACTCGACAATGTCTCCAAGACAACGGAGACTGTCCTGTCCAGATAGAATTCTCTGTAGCTCATAAATTCTGGAAGATCCTTGGAGAAACAAGACTCAGGACAAATTCCCCTGCCCCATCCGCCACCTTCCAAAGCAGCTAACTCCAAGGTGGTGGTGGGAGTGGGGGTGGGGCATCCTCACCGTGCAGCTCACAGCAGCCCTCACTGCTGAGTCTTGTCTGTTATCAGAGAAGGAGGATGCAGGGGGACAATTTTCTCTGCAGAATCTGAGGAGCATGGAAAACCAAGGGCAGTACCAGTACCCAAGAGGGACTCGGGGGCATCCCTTGAAGAGGGAACCCCTGACTGGCTCAGCAAAGGGGCTTCAAGGCAAATGCAGCCATGTCTGGTTTCTGCCGGTTATCACTGTTGTAGTATCCTGGGGCTACACATGCGCACATCACCTTTGTGAGTGACAGGGCCTTGCTGGAGTGTACAGGATAAGGACGGGAAGCAGACAGCAGTCCCGGCCAACCTCCGAAAGCCTCTTGCTTAGTAGCAACCTCAAATACCCTTTGGGAAGACCCATTCTAACTCTTTCTCATGGTCAGGCAGCAGTGCATTCAGTATGCTTATGTAAGAGGCACAGTAAAGTGAGTTGGAATTTAATTTCTCCTCCCTGAAAGCTGCTATTCTCCTTTGAGTTCTAGTGGTGAGTTAAGTTGGAGTCTGTTAAAACTCAGCAACTTGGGGTGAGCATTTGGCCTAGTGGTTCCCCACTGGAGTCCTTGGGATTGACGCCCAGCACCAACTCCTAACTCCAGCTTCCTGCCAATGCACACACTGGGAGACACTGATGATGGTTCAAGTAACTGAGTCCCCGCTGCCCACACGAGAGACCTGGGTGGAATTACTGGCTCCAAGCTTTGATCTGGCCTCGCCATGGCTTGTTGTAAGCATTTGGGGAATAAATCAGCAGTAGATAGGATCTCTCTCTCTCTCTCTCTCTGCCTCTCAAAATAAAGAAAAATGTAAAACAAAGTAACAAAAAGCGATCAATTAGGTGATCATTAGGTACTTGGGTCCCAACCTTTCTTTCCCATGCATAACTCTGTGAACACTAAAAGAACAGAGATACAGTTTGACAAATTGCATACCGTTTGACAAACGATTTAATAAATTCAAAATAGCACAATTTTTAAAAGCAACTGGAGGAAAGCCCTTTCCTATTATTTTTCTTCTTAGCTTCCCCATTGTCTAAATCAGGAAAACAGGAAAAGCTTGCTTTCTAGCAGCTGTGACATGATTTCGTGCCCCCTACATATTTCCATCGCCCTGAACAATAGCGTTAGCATGGGACTCTGAGATAGGATTCCTGGAAACACCTGCCCCTGCTCTGGCTGCAGAACTCCCTGCTTCAGTCTCTACCTTTGGTCAAATTGGTTAACTGAAAACACAGCGTCACCCAGATTCTCTGTTTCCAAACACCCCATCCCCACGCAGGTCCCAGACATGAACCCTGCCTGAAGTGCTTGCTAAAAACCATGTGTGTTGGGTCTGCTCTTGGAGATAGTGCCCATCTATTCTGGGGGGAAACTCTGGAATCCCTCTCTCCTACTGTCCCTCTGAGTCCAGGGGGTTCCTGTCAGCAGGTTTATGCCCACCGTTCCCGGGGCTGAAGCTCTTTTGCAGATTTGCCTTGAGTTGTGGATTCCGTCATGAGCAAGACCTTGTCCTTTGAGGTCAGATGTCATTGCGGATATCAGCCACGGCTGACGTCATCACCACCAAGCGAGAGTGTAAATGCTTTTGGATATGTGTATTTGGAATTTGACTGCTTCTGGACTCTTGAGCTGTCTGTGCAGGGTTTATTTTCAGCCTGTGCATAAAGCATTTCCTTGGGGAGGGGAGGCACTGAGCTGCTCCTAGGAGCACCAACAAAATAGCCTTGTGGGTGACATCATGGGCCACCTTGGTCATCCCTTGAGCTTTTGTTACGGAGCCACTCCTAATAAACTCGGAAATCCAGCAGTTGTGAGCTTGTTTTTCGTGTACTTCATGGGAATGGGCATTTAGCCTAGTGGTTAAGGTGCCCTGGTCCCACATTGCAGTGTGTGGGTTTGCCACAGCTCCAGCTCGTGGTGCCAGCTTGCCAGTGCAGAACGTGGGAAGCAGCATCGGATGAGTTCCTGCCACTCCCACAGAAAACCTGGATTGCATTCCTGGCTCCTGGCTCTGGCGATGCCCAGCCCTGGCCATTGTGGGCATTTGGGGGAGTGAACGAGTGGCAGGGAACTGTCCATCTCTCCCTGTGTGTGTCTCTCTGCCTCTCAAATAAATAATTAAAATATTGGTTTTGGTATATATTTTATAAAAACTCAATTCACCTGGCGAACTCGCTGTTGCAGTCATGAAATGGATCTGTTTCCCTTTTCAAGAGTTGCTCAAAGGAAATCGCCTTGACAACCATTCCACCTGCTGGAGGTGACTCTAGGCATGGGGCTCCACACTCCTGTGTCACATTGGGGAATGCCAGCACTGTCCCGCCTTGCCTGCTGCCCTTGGGGCCAGGAATGCAAGTGTGTGCTTGCATTATGTCCAGTGCCCAGGGCGGCTGAGACCCAGCCTGACTGGATGCTTCCAGGTTTTGCATTGTGAACTGGAGTCCCCTAATCTCTGTCCCCTTTGTCACCCTTTAATTTTCTGCATTTTTTGATCAGACTGAGCAAGTGACACCTGGTGTGCGATTCAGCATTGTCCAGAGGGTGCGAATGTGCCATTCTGTAATTACCCCGGGAGCCTTTATCACCACTTTGTCAGCAAAGCTTCTTCAGTTTGTTTAGCTAATTGGGCAGGCAGACCAGACTGCCGGCTGCTCCCTGCATGCATCTCCCAGGGATCCCCAGTCGGGGGACAGCAGATGGTGGCCGGTCCTGAGTCTGCCTGCTTTTCCAACTGTGCACTTGGCAAAGGTTTTTAGAAAAGAACAGGGCTTAAGGAGGATAATGTGCATGGCTGCTGGCCTAGGACATTTGCAAGGAGCATGCATGATTTAGGGCTACAGACAGCTGATGCTATAAGCAACCTGATCACTGACAGCATATTTGGAAATCACGTGGTAACACAAACAGTGCCGGCTGCTTCTCCAACTCACACACATGCAGACACTGACAAACACACACAGCTCTAACATTCTTCAGATTCATGCTTCAGAAACCCCCAAGACCCCTGTTTCCAGATTTAGGAAAAGTGCATGAAGAAAAAAATGTCAGCTTTCGAAGGTGATTCGTATGGCTGACGTTTTCTGTCTACCAAGTAAAAGTACTTGAATTCTAGGTATGTCTTTACAATGAGACCCGGTTACTGAAACATTCACACCAGGTCAGGTAGGTTTGTGTTGCTATCAGGGTTAAAATGGGAGACTCAAGACAGGTGTGCGTGCATTCTACGGCATTTAACACGAATCCAAGGAGTGCACCAAGTTCCCAGCCTGTTATTCTGTGTGTTCAATAAGAGGTGACAGAGACAGTAAATCTAAAAACCAAAAAAAAAAAAAAAAAAGCCTCCGTTCAATGCTCCCCTGAGTTGTAATTGTGATGGTAGAGCTGCTTGAAAAGACAGCAGTGCTGGGGCCAGCGCTGTGGCATAGTGAGTAAAGCTGCCACCTGCAGTGCCATCATCCCATATGGGTGCTGGTTCGAGTCCTGGCTGCTCCACTACCGATCCAGCTCTCTGCAGTGGCCTGAGAAAGCAGTGGAAGATGGCCCAAATCCTTGGGCCCCTGCACCTGCATGGGAGACCTGGAAGAAGCTCCTGGTTCCTGGCTTCAGATCGGTGCAGATCTGACTGTTGCAGCCATCTGGGGAGTGAACCAGCAGATGGTTCTCTCTCTCTCTCTCTCTCTCTCTCTCTCTCTCTCTCTCTCTGTGACTTTCAAGTAAAATAAATAAATCTTAGAAAAAGAAAAAGACAGCAGTGGATCAGTAGATGAGTCTACCTTCCCACTTGCTTTATACCCAGGCTCATCCTATTAGGAGGAAATCAAAGGGGTGGTAACCAGTGGAAAATTGAAGAAATCAGCAAGAGTGGAGGTCCTGACACCCTGGGAGCAGTGACCATGCCCAGATTTGATGGAAGAGCTTCCCCAGGGCACTTGCTCAGCTTGCACTGGTGTCCCTTGTGGAATTCTGCCCGTGGGGTTTTATCTGAGTCTGTCACCCTTGACTTGGGTGCTTGAGATTGGTCCACAGGATTCAACTGAGCTGAAGAAGTGAAAGGGAGGGAGGGAGGAGGACCAGAGAGCTAGGAAGAGAGAGGGCACAGGGGTGGTGGTGGTGGGGGGGAGATGGTCCAGATGTGGCCAGCTCGCGGCTGCCGTCACCTCCTGGGCCACACTCCCAGAACAGCAGAGGTGAGTCTGGCTGGGGACCGCCAGGCGCTGAGGCTACTCCTCCGGCTTCCACTTCACTCGTATACACCTGTTGAGCTCCGCTCAGCTCATGACTTCTGCTCCACGGAGCTCCCCATCAATCGGGGGAGATGGCGGCTCTGGGTAGAGATAGGGGCGTTGGTGGATAATTCCAGCACTTCCAGGTGACCAAACAAGTGGGCAGAGTGGGCTGGGGGAAGGAGCAGACACATACACTGGCAGGTGCATGTGACCCGAGCACCTGGAAGGTCAGGGCCGGGAGCTGTGCACCCACAGTGCCCCCGTCGTGCACCTGCCCTCCTGCCCCAGCTCAGACAGCTCCTCCCCTGCTCCCCAAGTCCTGCTTCTGTCCAGCAGGGGGATGCTGAATTCTGGAGAGCAGAATTAACGCTCATCATTTTATTCCTCCCCTGATAACCCAGGGTCTCCAAGTCTTATGTCTTCTTAAGGGCAAAGGGTATATGTTTATGGGACCCTACTCTCAGTCAGTCTTAATGGTTTTTAAATAGAAATCCAGTCACATACATTATCTCGTACTATGCATGTTGTGGAAGCTATCAGGAAAATTCACTGAACATTTATACTTAGCAGATACAAGAGAAGTGTTACACAGACACAGAGACACATAGTAACAAACACATATACACAGAGACACACACAAACACAGATACACAAAGACACACAGATATACACTCAGGCGCATACATAGACACACAGATACACACACAGACACAGACACACACTTAGAGACACACACACAGATGGAAACACGCAAACATTGACACAAACACACAGACACAGATACACACTCAGACACATACACAGACACACAGATACACACACAGAACACGCACATAGAGACACACAAACACAGACACACACAGATAGAAACACAAACACTGACAAACACACAGACACAGATACACACTCAGACATGTACACATACACACACTTAAACACAGACACACAGATACACACTCAGACACATACACAGACACACAGATACACACTCAGACACACACACATAGACAATACACACAGATGCACACAGACTCAGACATGTACACACACAGATGCAGACACAGAAACACACATAGAGACAGAGACACACACAGAGACATACACATAGACAACACACACAGACACAGACACAGACATACAAACATACACCCAGACACGTAAACACAGACACACACTACAGCGGCTGCAAACCTCTCTGCTGCCCCAGGAACTTCATGTGCCTTGAGACTGAAGTCTGCATGGACTGCACTGTCACTGACAGCCTCATTCCCCCGAGGTCACACGGTGTGTGTGTGTGTGTGTGTGTGTGTACGCATAGTGAGGACAAGGGGGCATGCCCAAGGGTACTTGAAGAAGTTTGTGGCAGATGGAAGGAACTAAGAGATAAGTTTTGTGCAAACAAACAGAAACAACGCATGGATTTCAATACATGTCAGGGTCAGCGTTGTGGTGCAGTAGGCTAAGCCAGCGCCTGCAGCCCCAGTGTCCCTGCTGGAGCCCCGCTTTGAGTCCTGCCTGCTCTGCCTCTCAGCCACCCCCTACCAAGTTGCCTGGGAAAGCAGCGGATGACCTAAGTCCTGGGGCCTCTGCCACTCACATGGGGCATCCGGATGGAGTTCCAGGCTCCTGATGTTGGCCTAGCCCAGCCCCTGCTGTTGTGGCCATTTGGGGAGTGAACCAGAAGATGGAAGAGTGTTGCCTCTCTCTCTCTTTCAAATGAATAAGACTTTTAAAGGTTTGCATCAAAATCAACTTTTGTTTTTTCAAGATTTATTTATTTATTTGAAAGTCAGAGTTACACACAGAAAGGAGAGGCAGAGAGAGAGAGGTCTTCCATCCACAGGTTCACTCCCCAACTGACCACAATGGTCAGAGCTGCGCCAATCCAAAGCCAGGAGCCAGGAGCTTCCTCCAGGTCTCCCACGTGGGTGCAGGTGCCCAAGGACTTGAGCCATCTTCTACTGCTTTCCCAGGCCATAGCAGAGAGCTGGATCAGAAGTGGAGCAGCCGGGACTCGAACTGGTGCCCATTTGGGATGCCAGCACTGCAGACAGCGGCTTTGCCTGCTACGCCACAATGCCAGCCCCTCAACTTATCTTTTTTTTTTTTTTTTTTTGACAGGTAGAGTGGACAGTGAGAGAGAGAGACAGAGAGAAAGGTCTTCCTTTGCTGTTGGTTCACCCTCCAATGGCCGCTGCGGCCGGCGCACCACACTGATCCGATGGCAGGAGCCAGGTACTTATCCTGGTCTCCCATGGGGTGCAGGGCCCAAGCACTTGGGCCATCCTCCACTGCACTCCCTGGCCATAGCAGAGAGCTGGCCTGGAAGAGGGGCATCCGGGACAGAATCCGGCGCCCCAACCGGGACTAGAACCTGGTGTGCTGGCGCTGCAAGGCGGAGGATTAGCCTAGTGAGCCGTGGCGCCGGCCTCAACTTATCTTTTGATTCCATTTCTCACAAATGTTTTGAAGTACCCTCTTAGCAATGGCTGTTCTCAGGCCTGAACACAGAGGCCGCTTCTCACTTGGAACTCTCGTAGGCACTGGTGGGCAGGTGGGTGGGGAAATATTGTAACAGATG